TAGTGGAGTGCTCCAAGCACGCCGAGACGGATCCCTGCCTGCAAGCTGCCGTAGGCTACGTCACCCTGTGGTGAACAGGCGATGTGTCGCATCGAATACGCCATGCACTGCACGTACTTCCAGCAAGCCAGATGGGGAGCAAGCATGTGCAAGGGGCGCTGAATGATGTTTCAAAACGCCTTCGTGCTGTGCACACCTGCTATGACGAGCTGTGGGCTTCCCTGGATCCACGCGGGCCTTCGTGCTTTCGTCCGTAACATGACTCGGGATTGCTTGGACCTGGGTGATGCTCTGAGAGTACATGCTGCGCATACGCTTTGCTGTGCTATGCTGCTGTGTCTGAAGTATACCTTCCATCCTGAGGTTGCATCAGAGCTTTGAGAGCACACTTCCGGCGGCCTTCTCAAGTTTGTGCTCTCTTGTCAGAGGCCCCCAGAGGCCAGCACATGAGGAGTATCTCGACGACTCGGCAACTGCAACGCCCGGGGTTTGGCCTCTCTTGTCACTGTCTCTTGTCGTGCACTTGAGGCACAGTTGAAAATAAAGGAAGCATGTAAGTACATATGCAGCATATGCAGCATATGCAGCATATGCAGCATATGCAGCATATGCAGCATATGCAGCATATGCAGATGCACAGTCTCCAGCTAGTCATCCTGTGGGAGCAGCTCTGGGAAACGGTAGTACTAGTACCACAACATGAGCCGAACTGCCAGAATACGAACAAAAAACCACACAACATAAACACCGGCTCTGGACGGGGCACCTGCACCCGCCGCTGCCGTGCAGTTGGCCTTTGGTGGGAGACGCTGGCATGGATGTTGTCTACCTGCACTTCTGCCCTTTCGAGGCGCCTTCGCACGGATGTCCTTCACATGTCCCACAGCCACATATCCCCCCATGCCCGAGCGCATAGTGGAGAGCTTGGGACCCGGGCTGCTTGATGTGAGGTGCGCAGTCGACAGGGCTGGGAACCACCCTCCCAGGAAGGAGTTGAATCGATGACATGGCTCTCAGCACTTGCGACTGTGAGACTGAGCTTCAGCACAGGAGTAGCAGATGCTCAGACTTGCTACTTACCACTTTTTAAAAAACTTCATAGCTCGAATGAGAAGGAGCCAGAACTGGAGCGCGAAACCTTTAGGCAACAAAGCTCGATGGCCCCATTTTTGCAATTGGGCTAACAACGATCTGAGTCAAACAAGATTGGCCTCCCGACAGCCTGAAATGTTGAACATACCCGCAAAAATCCGATCTTGGCATGTATGTTGAATTACCGGACCCCAGCTGGCCCATGGGCATTTTACGGCCTCAATTCTTCAAAGAACCTGCCAAAATCCATTTGTTGAGCTGTGAAGATGCATTTTGGTGTGTTTCTTTGAGTTCCCGAACCCCAGCTGGCCCATGCGGCTTCCATTCTTTTGTAAAAACAACTCCCCTAACCCCCCCCCCCCCCCCCCCGCGGTTTTTAAGAGCTTGGAGATCAAGTCCAACCCCAATTATCCCCAATCGGATGATTGGGGTTAGGAAGGACCAGGAACCCCAATCAACTAGTTTTGTCCACGGCACGGTGACCAACTTGATGATTTCGGTGTTATTTTCACAAAACAGTGAAGCCGCGTGGGCCAGCTGGGGTTCGGGAACTTCAGAAAACACACACCAAAATGCACTTTTCAAAGCTCAAACAATGGATTTGGGCTGGTTACCGACTTGATCCCCCATCCCAGGGCCGAACTTTGCCAACAACCTGCCAAAAATCGTTTTTTGAACTGAGACAAATGCATTTTGCGCACGTATTTTAAGTTCCGGGACCCCAGCTGGCACATGAAGTTCCCGGACCCCAGCTGGCACATGGCCATCTTACAGCCTCAATTCTTGAAAGAACCTACCAAAATCCATTTTGTGTGTTTGCGAAAAATACCGTTTGGCATGCATTTTAAGTTCCCAGCTGGCACATGGGCATCTTACGGCCTCAATTCTTGAAAGAGCCGGCCAAAATCCATTTTTTCAGCTTCGAAAAATGACATTTTGGCATGTATTTTGAGCCCCCGGACCTCAGCTGGCCTGTGGGCAGCTTACGGCCACAATTCTTGAAAGAATCCATTTTTTGAGACCGAAAAATCTATTTTGGCAGGTTTTTGCAAGAATTGAGGCCGTAAGTTGTCCGTGTGCCAAGCGCAAACCGGTAACTCAGAAATACCAGAAATACATGCCAAAATCGTTTTTTCACAGGCCGAAAAATCGATTTTGGCAGGTTTTTGCAAGAATTGAGGCTGTAAGAAGCCCATCTGCCAACCGCAAACCGGCAACTCAGAAAGACGTGCCGAAATCGATTTTTCGCAGGCCGAAAAATCGATTTTGGCAAGGTTTTTTGGGTTTGGCGCTTGGCTGGGTTTGGGGCTCAAGTCGGCCCCCGCGGACAACAAAAGTCGATATTTGGGGTTCCAAATTCCCAACCCCAATTATCCCCAATCCCGGGCGGGATTGGGGATAATTGGGGTTCCCAACCCCCAACCCCCATTATCAACTCAGTTGCTTTCGGCTCTTCGCGAAGAGGCCAAGGCAATTGAGTTGATAATGGGGGTTGGGGGTTGGGAACCCCAATTATCCCCAATCCCGCCCGGGATTGGGGATAATTGGGGTTGGGAATTTGGAACCCCAAATATCGACTTTTGTTGTCCGCGGGGGCCGACTTGAGCCCCAACCCCAACCAAGCGCCAAACGTAAAAAACCGTGCCAAAATCGATTTTTCGGCCTGCGAAAAATTGATTTCGGCACGTCTTTCTGAGTTGCCGGTTTGCGGTTGGCACATGGGCCTTTTACGGCCTCAATTCTTGCAAAAACCTGCCAACATCGATTTTTCGGCCTGCGAAAGATCGATTTTGGCACGTATTTCTGAGTTACCGGTTTCCGGTTGGCACATGGGCATCTTACGGACTCAATTCTTGATAAACCTGCCAAAATCGATTTTTCGGCCTGCGAAAAATCGATTTTGGCACGTATTTCCGAGTTACCGGTTTGCACTTTTCACATGGGCAACTTACGGCCTCAATTCTTGCAAAGACCTGCCAAAATCGATTTTTCGACCTGCGAACAATCGATTTGGCATGTATTTCCGAGTTACTGGTTTCCGGTTGGCACATGGGCATCTTACGGACTCAATTCTTGAAAAAGCCTGCCCAAAATCGATTTTTTGAGCTTCGAAAAATGCGTTTTGGCATGTCTTTTGGAGCCCGAACCTCAGCTGGCCCATGGGCATCTTACAGCCTCAATTCTTGAAAGAGCCCAAAATCGATTGTTTGAGCTGCGAAAAATGCGTTGTCGCATGTATTTTGAGTTCCTGGACCCCGGCTGGCACATGGGCATCTTACGGCCGCAATTCTTGAAAGAACCTGCCAAAATCATTGCTGTTGAGCTTTGCAAAATGCATTTTGGTGTGTATTTTGAGTTATCTTACAGCCTGAATTCTTGAAAGAGCCTGCCAAAATCAACTTTTTGAGCTGCGCAAAATGCGTTTTGGCATGTGTCGTAAGTTCTCAGACCTCAGCTGGCCCATGGGCATCTTACGCAATTCTTGAGATCCTTGTTGTTGAGCTTTGCAAAAATGCATTTGGTGTGTATATATTGAGTTCCCGAACCCCAGCTGGCACATGGGCCCATGGGCATCTGACAGCCTGAATTCTTGCATCTTGCAGCCTGAATTCTTGCATCTTCCAGCCTGAATTCTTGAAAGAACCTGCCGAAATCCATTGTTTTTTTAGCTTCCAACGCGTTCTGGCATGCATTGTAAATTCCCGGACCTCAGCTGGCCCATGGGCATCTTATGGCCTTAATGCTTGAAAGAACTTGCCAACATCCAGTTTTTGGGCTTTGAAAATGCATCTTGGTGTGTTTGTTTTTGAGGTTCCCAAAATCCAGCTGGCCCATTGTTTTTAAAGTTCCTCAAATCCCAGCTTTGGACCCTCAAATTGCACAACACAGGATCAAGGGGACACTAAAACCAATATTAAATGAAGTTTTCTTGCTTTGCCCACTGACCCCTTAAATAGCGAGTCTGATGCTGGCAGCAGATTTGCTGTTGGGAAGGTTGCCCCCTCAAGCACGCAGTGTAAGGCTCCTTCGAAAATCGGAGCCAGCATCTTTCAATAGATGGTGTCCAGAAAGCTTGGGCCCAGCAGTTCCTGAAGCGAAACATTCAGAGCCTAGCTCGATGCGAAAGCGTTGCGCGGTGTCTACCAGCTCTACTCGAGGCTGCGCTGAGAGTGTGCAAAGGGCATATGTATGGCCTTCAGAAACGCTGGCTGCACATCCCATGATCGGCCGATGGCAACTGAAAACTTACTGTTGACAGAATTTAACTACAGAGTTTAACTACACGTCTGCACCCTTGCTCAGCAGTCGCCTGAGTACATACATCATGCATCATCATGTACCTGCAGTCAACGGGACGTTCGTTTACCACCACCCGTCATCAACTGTCTGCTTGATCCGAATGGTCCCTGCATTTGGACCGACCGCAGCGAGAAGCAAGTGAGACAAACAACAGGGGATGCTGTGTAGAAGCTCGGTGACCCCGTCTGGCTCATGATCACACCTCCCAGACAGCACTGAGGCATTCAACAGTGCCTGCGGCAAGAGGTCTACGACTACGAGTCTACCCAAATCCTCCCCCTTTATTACTGCACAGGTTGAACAACTTGAACAAGTACGCCATCAAGATCAATCAATGGTCCATCAGTATTTGGATTCCTAGAGCTGCGGGCACCAACGCAGTGTAGGGAACGTGTCTAGTACATGGCCCAGGTGTCCATAGCGCGCAGCCAACTTGCGAGGACTGTTCGGGTACTTCCATGCACTCCGGCACCCGTCTCATGAACCATGTGCTATTTAATTTCATTTCAACGGTCCCATAAGGATGCTTTTGCTAGGAATGGCTATATTCCGGGTGTGTGCTGACTGTCAAACCCATGACACGTGGACCCTGGTTCAGGCTTGCGAGCCTCGAAGGTTTCAGCCTTAGTGCATTGGGGATTACTGGCAGCTGGTCACTTAGGGCTGCGTGATACTGAAGAGGCATCCGGGGACCGGGCCACTTCGCCGTCTTCGGTGCCGTTCAGGTCGTGGGGGTCCGTGAGAAATGTCCGGTTCGGCAGAGGCGGCGGGTCCGGTGGCTCGGGCGGCCGGGCTTGGGCTACACGTGGGGGGGGAACCGGAAGCGGCGCCAGGGGAGTTCCTGAATCCCCAGATCGGGAAACACGGGAGGGAGCTGCATCCTTGTCAAGTGCCCACGGCGGCTGGCTTCTGGGGGGTGCACTCTGGTGCTGGCCAGCGGCCTCGGTGCGCCTTCGCTGAGGTGCCGCCTCAACGTCCACGCCACGGCTGCGGGCACCATGGGCCTCCGCACTTGCTGCATCTTGCTGTGGTATTGTGATTGGGTGCCACGCAAGGAGGCGACGTAGCGCAACGGACACGCTATTGTATTCTATTGCTGGTTTTTAAATTAATGTCAAAGATCCACAAAACTCCACACAAGACTGCCTCTGCCAATTCAGCTTGGGAATCATCACGCAGCCTTGCTGGGAGCAAAGAGGTCCCCGAGACGTCCGCCTTTCCTTGGGGCTCGCGGACTGTGCAAACGACTTCTTCGATTCGAGGCGCGGTTCTTGCTGCCCAGCTTCGGCGCGGATACTGCACTGCTGGCAACGCCGGAGGAGACCTGCGATCGAGGCAAGACAAGGCGCTGGTGATTCCCATGCTCCCTGGCTCAGCCAAACCTCGTCTATGCTTCAGTTCTCTCCCAATCCCATGATCCACCCCTGCCCCGGCCGCGTCAGCCGCGCTTTGCGCTGCGGCCAGGAGGTCGGAGCCACCCTCCGAATCCTCCGGCGGGGCAGCCTCACTTTGGGAGCAACGACACGCTGCCGTACCTGCTGCAGCTGCACATTAGGTTTGCGGCCCGCGATCTCGCAGGCGGTGCAAACAAATGCCGCATTCCACCTGCACAAAGATCATCATGTTCTCATTTGCCTTGAAGAGTTCACAAACATGCAAGACCAGCCTGCGCCCAGCCCAGACATTGCCGATTGGACGCCAGACCGGGAGACCTGTAAATTGCACCCGTTCAACGAGCCACGCCACAAATGCTTTCGACTCCTTTCAGCGCCTGGGATTTGCCTATCGCTGGCTACTGCATCCTGGCTGACTATTGTAGTTCGAGACCTGTTCTGCCCTCTGCCCTTTGCTGCATTGCAAGGTGGCGGGCCTCCGCGGCTGCACCCTTGGCGAAACCCAGGAGGTCGCTGCCAGATTCCGAGCCCTGTCCATTAACAAAAGAGATTCCCGAGGATGCCTGTAGACAGTGCTGTTCGTGCCTCGCCCGGCTTCGGCGGTGGCATGGGGGCCTTTCCTCGTACCTGGCCGACAGCCCGGCAACAAGCCTGAAGCCATCGTGAAAAGACTGCATCCTTCACAAACCTTTTGAGGATTTGAGGCTTGGCAGATTTTCTACGTATTGCGAGCTTGCGATGCTGTGCTCTCTGGCCTTGCTGGGAGCGAAGAGGTCCCCGAGACGTCCGCCTTTCCTTGGGGCTCGCGGACTGTGCAAACGACTTCTTCGATTCGAGGCGCGGTTCTTGCTGCCCAGCTTCGGCGCGGATACTGCACTGCTGGCAACGCCGGAGGAGACCTGCGATCGAGGCAAGACAAGGCGCTGGTGATTCCCATGCTCCCTGGCTCAGCCAAACCTCGTCTATGCTTCAGTTCTCTCCCAATCCCATGATCCACCCCTGCCCCGGCCGCGTCAGCCGCGCTTTGCGCTGCGGCCAGGAGGTCGGAGCCACCCTCCGAATCCTCCGGCGGGGCAGCCTCACTTTGGGAGCAACGACACGCTGCCGTACCTGCTGCAGCTGCACATTAGGTTTGCGGCCCGCGATCTCGCAGGCGGTGCAAACAAATGCCGCATTCCACCTGCACAAAGATCATCATGTTCTCATTTGCCTTGAAGAGTTCACAAACATGCAAGACCAGCCTGCGCCCAGCCCAGACATTGCCGATTGGACGCCAGACCGGGAGACCTGTACATGTACACGTTCTATGCGGCACGTTTGCCAAATAAATCGTCTGCCACGCCCGCAATTGCTTTCGACTACTTTTCGCGCCTGGGATTTGCCTATCGCTGGCTACTCTTTCCTGCTCACTATTGCAACAAGACTGATCGGCTTTGTGGTATTTGAGGCCCATTCGCCCTTTGCTGCTTTGCAAGGTGAGCCTCTGCTGCTGCACCCTTGGCGAAACCCAGGAGGTCGCTGCCAGATTCCGAGCCCTGGCAGATGCCAAAAAGAGCAAGCAAATCCATGATTCTCTTTTGCGCCGTGGCAACGATGATATGGAGACTTGCCAATGCAACCAACGGATGCACTCGCCAGCTACAAATGAACTCAGGACATTCCGCCGGGCAGCAGCAGCGGGATCGTTCCCGTACACGGGGGTTTTTGCGATACTTTGATCTGGCACTGGCCGTCGATGTGGATTAGCCCACAACCAGGCCAATCTCGTCGCAGTGAGAACGAAGTCGCCGTCGTCAAGACTTTGCGCTGGCAAACACGCTTCTGAATCTCGCTGAAATTACGAATTAGTTGAAAACTAGTGCACCAGCTCCTTATAAGTCCCACGTGTAGCAGACCGTGCGGTCAAGTCTCTCGCACAGCGTTCATGTTCATCAGTTTGGTGGAGATGTCATTTATTGCCCAGGCGATTATCTAGGCATACTGTATACTGTCTTCGCCCTTGTCTGGATGTCATCTTGGGGCGCAATGTAGGCTGGAGTTGGAAGGCTGCGAGTGTGGCTTTCCCTGCTAGAAAGTAGTCGAAACATCTCCCCTAACCAAAGCTTCTTTTCAGTTTCTTTTCTTGGAGATCTGAAAAACGCCCGGCATGGCCAGAGTATGCGATGTGCTATGATGTGCTCGGCCAGGGTTATTGGTGTTATTGCTGTCTAGCATGCTTGCGAATGACGGTATGGAACTTGCTTTCACTGACCGGCCGAACTGCTCTGATCCCAATCGGCATCGTGGAAAGGCACAGATAATCACTTGGCCGGTCTACCTATATTTGCGAGGACGGAGCGGAACCCGCCCATCTTCATGTTATCTTTCTGTGAAGCTCGCGGGGCCCTTGGCAGGTGAGGAAGCTCTGCCGCTCTCTGATCTTGCTACTCGTAGTCGTACTGCCTCTGCTAGCAATTACAGCGGTTTGAGGTACAGGCGGTTGTTGAAGCTGTCCCGGCGCTTGCGGTGAGAATGCAATGGAACATGGTCGACAGATACCCTTCATCATGGTGTTTGACAAGTTTGAGGTTGTCATGGGGCGGAGATGCATGGAGGTCCAGGTGTTGGTGTTAGAGCACGGCCGTTTATCGATGGAGGCACCAGCCAACTAGGCCATGCCAGAAACTTGGCACCGACATCACAGAATTCTCAGGAGGACCGAGACCGGACATTCACAGTCTCAAAATCCCCACAGGATCGCATCGAGTCCACACTCGAAGAGAACCAAGAACGCTCGAGGACTCGAATTAACGCTGATGGTGCCTCGCTGGGCTTCGGCGGCGCAATGGGTGCCTTGCTTCGCACAGGTACCTGGCGCCGACAGACTGGCAACAAGCCTGAAACCATCGTGGAAGGAGTGCATCCTTCACAAACCTTTTGAGGATTTGAGGCTTGGCAGATTTTTCTACGTATTGCGAGCTTGCGATGCTGTGCTCTCTGGCCTTGCTGGGAGCGAAGAGGTCCCCGAGACGTCCGCCTTTCCTTGGGGCTCGCGGACTGTGCAAATGACTTCTTCGATTCGAGGCGCGGTTCTTGCTGCCCAGCTTCGGCGCGGATACTGCACTGCTGGCAACGCCGGAGGAGACCTGCGATCGAGGCAAGACAAGGCGCTGGTGATTCCCATGCTCCCTGGCTCAAGCCAAACCTCGTCTATGCTTCCTTCAGTTCTTTCCCAGTCCCATGATTCACCCCTGCCCCGGCCGCGTCAGCCGCGCTTTGCGCTGCGGCCAGGAGGTCGGAGCCACCCTCCGAATCCTCCGGCGGGGCAACCTGGGCAATGTAACAATGAGTTTGGTCCTTGGTGGTCTGTGTGTGCGTGTGTGGGAATGAGCGCAGAGTCATACCTAGAACCGGCAAGGGCCCCTCCGACTCTCAGGACATGATCGCGCATGCCAGAATCCACAAGGTCGCCTGCGGAGTCGCTTTCTGTCAGCTTTCAAAGCGCTTTTCTACGATTCTGGGCAGGCAGCACGCACCGGCGCAAAGAGGTCGCGCATGCCACCTGCAGGTAGTGAAGGCTGCGAACCCTGATGGATGTGCCGACAGACAAAGCGAGAACTGCTCCAACAAAAACAGGACACACGAACACTGAAGTGACTGAAGTGGTGCGTCAGATCGGCTGGTTGACCTAACTCTGCCTGCCAACCTTTCGTTGCTTTCTGTAGTTTTTCGTTTCTGTCACTCTTTCTTTCTTGAGATATTCTTCAGCTTCTTTTACTTCTTCGCGCTTGGAGGCCCCCTGGCGGGAGATCCGGCCTCGACGGCCAAGCAGGTCTTCTGTCCGAGCCGACCATACCGGTATACGGGAGTCAGTGCCAAGCAAAGGCATCCCCTGCTGCCGTGACTTCGGGTCCTGTGAGTTGTCATCGCTTGTTGATCGTTCTGCCTCACTGCTCTCAGCGCCGCTGAGCTCGTAGTCGGTGCGCGAAGAGGTCGAAAGGGTCGCCTTTCTTTCGGCTCGTCCGGCTGGGTCGGGGACACAGACTTCCCCCCCGGTTGGCGGTCCCCTTGCGGGCTTGTAGCTGTCGTTCTTCTTCTGCGAGTGGTGTCTTCCATCTTCTGCTCCACAAAGCCCATCGGTGGACGAAACACGCCCGGCTCGCCCAGCTGGAGCTTCAAGTCAACCACCCAACTCAACCAGTACTGTCCACGCCGACTTTACGCCCCCTGCGCTCAGGGTTTGACCCCAATGGGTCCGGAGACTCTGACACCTGTTTCTTCAGGCCTATTCTTCTTGTGCGCTTAAGAGCATCCCGGAAGGGGACCCGGCCACGACGGCAAAAGGTCTGCCTGTCTCACTCTCTCGTTCATTACTTCCCTCTTTATTTCGTTTTTTCTTCTTTTCTGGTTTCTTTCAATCTTTAGTTCGTTCTTTTTTTCTTTCCTTCTTCTATACCACTACAGGTTTGGCAGTGTGTGGAGAGGGTGAATTTTCCTACACAAGTCTCCCTGCCACAGGTTGGTGGTTTGGAAGAGATAGAATACCTTCTCTCTCTCACTCCCTTCTCTCTCTCTCTCTCTCTCTCTCTCTCGCAATCTGAAGTTTGATATGCACATCTTCTGCATGTTGCGGCCTGGGGCGAGGCCGGAACGCACCGCCGATTGAATGCCGGACCGGGAGACCTTGAAAAATTGCGCAACAGGGGCTCGCAACGAGTTGCGATGCAGTAATTGCTCCATCACACAGATGAAACCACTGCACTGCGAACGCCACCTCGGCAGCCACGCCCTTGGCCAAGCCGAGAAGATCGCTGCCTGACTCCGAGCCCTGGCCAGCGCAACCACGGCCGCTACAACGGCAAACGCACGGACACCGCTCATACTGCACGAACAAATGTTGTATAAGCAACTGGAATAACTTTCTTCATTCTCAAAATAAACACCAGCCTCTGCAATTATGAAGAATTGCACAAGTTCTCATCTTCTAAAGAGCCTTCATATTCTTCATGAGTTCAGGAGACTCTCTGGTAAGCTATGCAAGAAAGCCCATACGATGCACACATTTTTTCAAATTGGAAGCGCATTCCATTTGTTTCCTCTTCTTCCTGATAACCGAGAACACTGAGCTCTACACTTCCCAACAACAGGGAACGACACCTCATTTGGGTTGGAGAGACAAAGACGCCCAGTTCAAATGCCTTTCCGTATGAGAAATGCAAGCTTCTGTGCACAAAGAAGCACGACGACCACATATCTTCCTACAAAGCCATGGCAAGAGCTTCTCTTTTCGTTTCTAAAACATTCTATGTCACCAAAAAAGAAAGAAAGGGGTTCTTCCTCGTCTTGAATGTAATAGAACTAGAAGAGGGATGGCCCGAAAGCATCGATTTGCCGTGCGTTGACTCCCTGCACTTGACACTTGACTCTTTGCACTCGAACTGTATGCACTTGGACAAGTGTATGCACTTATATGGCTGCATATTCACTTGTATACTGCACGTGCTATGCATAGCATTCAAGTGTGTTGACTTGAATGCCATTTAGCATTCAAGTGTGTTGACTTGAATGCCATGCACTTGTGGTCAACTCTATACACTTCATCGGCATTCAATACATCTGAGGTTAACGGACTTGAACTCGACATCTTTGCGAGGGTTTCGATATCCCGGATTTCGAGTCCCACGATATTTGCGAGGTTTTCGAGGCCGCGGAATTCGAGTCCCACGATATTTGCGAGGGTTTCGAAACCCCGGAATTCGAGTCCCGCGACGCTTTCGACGCCCCGGAATTCGAGTCCCACGATATTTGCGAGTGTTTCGGCATCCCGGAATTCGAGTCCCACGATATTTGCCAGGTTTTCGAGGCCCCGGAATTCGAGCCCCACGATATTTGCGAGGGTTTCGATACCCCGCAAGTCGAGTCCCACCCCCTCGATAGCACCGACCCCGGAATTCGAGTCCCACGATATATTTGCGAGGGTTTCGACATCCCGGAATTCGAGTCCCGCGACGCTTTCGACGCCCCGGAATTCGAGCCCCACGATACTTGCGAGGGTTGCGACATCCCGGAATTCGAGTCCCACGATATTTGCCAGGTTTTCGAGGCCCCGGAATTCGAGCCCCGCGATATTTGCGAGGGTTTCGATACCCCGCAAGTCGAGTCCCACCCCCTCGATAGCACCGAGGTTTTCCAGGCCCCGGAATTCGAGTCCCACGATATTTGCGAAGGTTTCGACATCCCGGAATTCGAGTCCCGCGATGCTTTCGACGGCCCGGAATTCGAGTCCCACGATACTTGCGAGGGTTTCGACATCCCGGAATTCGAGTCCCACGATATTTGCGAGGGTTTCGATATCCCGGAATTCGAGTCCCACGATATTTCGACAAAGTCGACTTTCCAGTCACGGTCGGAGTTCTACAGAGGATCATTTTGAGAGCTCAAAAGAGCGCACCGGCCCTAGACAGCACGACTTCTTTTGTACTACAGAGGACGTTTTCCGTCACAAAGAAAACGCAAAAACACGACGGTTTTGGCACCGTGACCAAGCGAAAGCCCGCAGAGGGGTTGCAAAACGCAAAAACACGGCGATCCCCGCAGAGGGTTGACCCGCGCCCGCAAAAATGTGCAAAAAACGACGGCTTTAGCACCGCGACCACGCCGAAACCCGCAGAGGGTTGTCCGTGCAAAGCAAGAAACGTAAAAGAAACGACGGTCTTAGCACCGCGACCATGCCGAAACCCGCAGAGGGTTGTCCGCGGCCAGCCAGAAACGTAAAAGAATGACGGTCTTAGCATCGCGACCACGCCGAAACCCGCAGAGGGTTGTCCGCGCAAAGCAAGAAACTTTAAAAAAAACGACGGTTTTAGCACCGCGACCACGCCGAAACCCGCAGAGGGTTGCAATCCCGATTGACGACGTCAACCCAGCCCGCCGCCTTAAAAAGAGTAATTTTCATTAAGAAATGTAGGACTGGGTGCGAAGGTCTACTAAATTCTACTAACATCTCGTAAATTCTATTGTACTAAAATCTCGTAAATTCCACTCTGTTGTACTAAAGTCTCGTGAATTCGACTCTATGTACTTCACTCTTGCACTGAGAACCTAATGCGTCACTTCGCAAGAGTTACGGGAGGAGTGATAATGGTCCAGTGGGCCTGGCATGGAGCGAAGCCTATTCAGTGCCTTGAAACTTGTCTAGTTGTGGCACGCACTGTCATGGCTTGTGCGTAAATGGAAGCGCCCCTGTAGATCCTCTAACTTCACGAAGGCAACCTTTTGTATTTCCACGATGTGCCCTTTAACCTGGTCGATATCTGCAAGCATCCATTTTCGCAAGGACCTCCATTATGGAGATCCTGTGTCTATGAGCCCCATCGAGCTACGTGGTTTTGCTTGATGATGCTATCTTCCCCTGTAGGATCCACCTATAACGGATGTTCTGCACTGGTGAATCCGCAAATTCGGCTGTAGGTGAATTTCCTCGTTGTTGTCTTCGGATTAGGGCTGTTTAGTGCATAGCGTCATGTAAGTCTTGGGACTTATGGGCAGCTCGGGGTAGGGCTTTGAGCTTAGGGTGTAGGGTTCGCATTTAAGGTTAGGATTTAGGGTAAAAGGCGTATGAGGTTCAGATTCAGGCTTAGGGTGTAGGGTGTGGACCAATGCGTTTAGACCTTTGGGTTAGTATTTCAGGCTTAGGGGTATTATTTAACAGGGGTTGAGGTTTAGGTGTTTAGGTTCAGGGCTTCGGGTGTGGGGGTGTGGTTGGTGCATTTCTTTGTTTGTGTCCTTGTTGGCTTCCTCGCATTTTCATTCCAATGTCTCTCAGTCCAGAGACAAAAAACCCTAAGCCCTAAACCCTGAACCCGAACTAGAGTTGGAACAAGAGTCAAAATTGGCAAAGTACAGCCCGGGACTTCTCTCCTCGCTGGGCTTCGGCGGAGCCACAGGCTCTTTGACTTGTCCGCGTGCCTTGGTCATAGTCTGTATCAGCATGTCACACCAGGTTCTGAATTCTGCAAACTCGCTTCAGCTTGTTAGCAACTGTTCTGGAATTTGTCGGCGTCACTTCGCACAGTTGCCTTGTTGGCAAAGAGGTCGCCCAAATGCCCACGGATCCTTGAGACGCATTAGCTTCGGATCTTGCGACTCATTGCATCTGACAGACTGCAGGACTGGCAGGACACCTGCAGCAAAGGACATGCCACGTGCCCCTGAGCTCTGCATTGCTTGGCCGGTGCTGACGAGCGTCGGTGCAGAAACTGCGCTGCTGGAAACACCCGAAGAGACCTGAGGGTTGAGGGCCAAACGAAGTCGAGACGAAGTCAAGACCACAAGTTTTGAAACATTCCCCTTATATCCGCTGACCCCCGCTGGAGCGGGGAGGCGTCAGTGAAGACCCATTCTCGGTCATCGCCCTACCCCCTACCTTTTATGGCAGTGCCCCAACCGCCTCACCTTGAATTAAATTTTTTTGAGGGCTCCAATGCATCCCTGCACCCTTTACCTTGAAATCGCCCTCCACGACCACGCCTGCCTTGAAAGGAAGTTTCAGAGCCATCCCTCCCCCCCGTTTACCTCCAAATGAGGGCCCTACCCCCCCCCCCCCCCCCCCCCCCCCCCCCCCCGCCCCCCATCCTCAGGCCGCCGACCCACCACACCCTCTAAGCAACGCCCCCGCCGCCTCAAATCATCGCCCCACTCCTTTATGGCAGCGTCACCACCCTCACCCACCGCCCTCATCTGCACCCCCCCTCTTATCCCATCATGCAGTGTTTAAGAAGGGCCGCCCACCACCCCTACTCCTGCCCTTCTTAATGCTTCGTCTCCTTGCCAACTCTACCTCTGCCTACTTCTACCAACCTACCCCCCCCTACCTACTTACACCTACCCCCACCTGCCTAGGGCCCCACCCCCCCCCCCTCCCAGCCTGCTCCCAACTGCTTGTTTCCACGCTGCTTTGCCTTGAAGTGTTTTGAGGGCTCCAATGCATCCCTGTACCCCCTACCTTGAAATCGCCCTCCACCACCACGCCTGCCTTGAAAGGAAGAACAAAAGCAGCGAAGTGTTTTAAGGGCTCGCCCCCCTGCCCTAGCCTGTATTTTGAAACGATGTGTTAAGGGGTGCATGCCCAAACCCTCTCCCGCCCTACCTTTTCGTCCCCTCACCCACCCCCCACCTCCCCCAGCCACCCCAGCTGGTGTTTTGAGGCTCCACCCGTTCGCATGCTGCTTTACGCCCCCTGCCCCTGAAATGAAGTGTTTTAAGGACTCATCTGCACCCCACCACCCCGATTCCTCTCCTTACCTACCTACCCCCCCCTACCACCTACCAACTCTACCTCTACCCCCCACCTCCCTACCTACCTACCCCTACCTACTGACCTACCTACGCCTACCTACAAGCTGGTGTTTACACCGTTCCCATCCTGCACCTCCTTGGAATGAAGTGTTTTGAGGGCTCCAACGCGTCCTTGTACCCTTTACCTTGAAATTGCCCTCCGCCTCAAGCCAGTTGGGCTTGTGGCTATTTCTAGCGGCTTTTTCGGCTCTGTGTCTGAGTGTGATCACCAAATTTAGGCCCCAGAGGGTTGTTAAGCCCGTAATGGGGTCTTGGCGTGATGGGCTGTGTAGCCTGTCGAGGGGCTGAAATGCCTGACAGGGTCATGGGCTTTGCAGCCCGTAGCAGCGGCCAAAGCGAAAGCTCCAAACTAATTTCGGCTGGCGGCAGCCATTAAATCGGGCAGGGCCATGGCCCTTGCGGCCTGGCGCGAACCTTTAGGCCGGGTCGTCCCGGCAATAGCCTTGCTTGCCTTCTGCGAAGCAGAAATTAGGCCGGACGCCAGTGCCGCCGACCCCCGCGTGCCGCCGGTGAACGGTTTTTTTTTTTTTTTTTTTTTTTTTTCGTGGTTTTTTGCGTCGCCACAGAGGCCCCCAGAGGGTGCGCATCATGAGCATCAGCGGGTCCAGCCCGGGACCCCCAGGCGCGCATCAGGAGCATCAGGCGGCTCCCGGGGCGGGACCCCGGGGGCGCATCAGGAGCATGACGCCCCCCAAAGGGCGGGCATAAGCGACGTGTCTAAGCCCGGGGCTAGGAAAAAGGGAGTTTAGGGGCCTTATAAAGTGCTTAGAAACTTTAAGGGAGTCTAGGAGCTTCAAACGCTTAGAGATTTGAAGGGAGTTTAGGGGCCTGAAAATGCTTAGAAACTTTAAGGGGGTTGAGGAGCCTCAAACGCTTAGAGATTTTAAGGGAGTTTAGGGGCCTCAAAATGCTTAGAAACTGCTCGCCCCGCGCTTCTGCCTGCGCTGCCCGCCCATGGGCGCAGCCCCTTAAAATCGGGCAGCGCGAGGTCCCCAAAGACCGAGCATTGGCGCCGGGTCGTCCCGGCAATAGCCTTGCTAGCCTTCGGCCTTCTGCGAAGCAGAATTAGGCCGGACGCCAGTGCCGCCGACCCCCGCGTGCCCCCGGTGAACGGTTTTTTTTTCTCGTGGATTTTTTGCGTCCCCACGGAGGCCCCCAGAGGGCGCGCATCATGAGCATCAGCGGGTCCAGCCCGGGACCCCCAGGCGCGCATCAGGAGCATCAGCGGCTCCCGGGGCAGGACCCCGGGGGCGCATCAGGAGCATGATGCCCCCCAAAGGGCAGGCATAAGCGACGTGTCTAAGCCCGGGGGCTAGGAAAAAGGGAGCTTAGGGGCCTTATAAAGTGCTTAGAAACTTTAAGGGAGTCTAGGAGCCTCAAACGCTTAGAGATTTGAAGGGGGCCTGAAAATGCTTAGAAACTTTAAGGGAGTTCAGGAGCCTCAAACGCTTCGAGATTTTAAGGGAGTTTAGGGGCCTCAAATGCTTAGAAACTTCAAGGGAGTTTAGGAGCCTCAAACGCTTAGAGAAACCCCAACCCTGTGACGGATCTGCTCGCCCCGCGCTTCTGCCTGCGCTGCCCGCCCATGGGCGCAGCCCCTTAAAAAAGCAGCGCGAGGTCCCTAGGACCGAGCTTGGCGGACCTTTTAGGCCCGGGTCCCTCCCGGGAATAGCCTTGCTGGCCGTCGGCCTTCTACGAAGCAGAATTAGGCCGGACGCCAGTGCCGCCGATCCCCGTGTGCCCCCGGTGAACGGTTTTTTTTCGTGGTTTTTTGCGTCGCCACGGAGGCCCCCAGAGGGCGCGCATCATGAGCATCAGCGGGTCCAGCCCGGGACCCCCAGGCGCGCATCAGGAGCATCAGCGGCTCCCGGGGCGGGACCCCGGGGCGCAGCAGGAGCATGATGCCCCCCAAAGGGCGGGCATAAGCGACGGTCTAAGCCCGGGGGCTAGGAAAAAGGGAGCTTAGGGGCCTTGTAAAGTGCTTAGAAACTTTAAGGGAGTCTAGGAGCCTCAAACGCTTAGAGATTTGAAGAGAGTTTAGGGGCCTGAAAGTGCTTAGAAACTTTAAGGGAGTCTAGGAGCCTCAAACGCTTAGAGATTTGAAGGGAGTTTAGGGGCCTGAAAATGCTTAGAAACTTTACGGGAGTTCACGAGCCTCAAACGCTTAGAGATTTTAAGGGAGTTTAGGGGCCTCAAAATGCTTAGAAACTTCAAGGGAGTTTAGGAGCCTCAAACGCTTAGAGAAACCCCAACCCTGTGACGGATCTGCTCGCCCCGCGCTTCTGCCTGCGCTGCCCGCCCATGGGCGCAGCCCCTTAAAAAAGCAGCGCGAGGTCCCTAGGACCGAGCTTGGCGGACCTTTTGGCCCGGGTCCCTCCCGGGAATAGCCTTGCTGGCCGTCGGCCTTCTGCGAAGAAGCAGAATCTAAAGGGCTGTCGCCCACAGCCGGGCACGCCCACCAGCAGCAGGACAACGGCAGCAAGCACAGCAGCAACAACAACAACAACAACAACAACAACAACAACAACAACAACAACAACAACAACAACAACAACAACAACAACAACAACAACAACAACAACAACAACAACAACAACAACAACAACAACAACAACAACAACAACAACAACAACAACAACAACAACAACAACAACAACAACAACAACAACAACAACAACAACAACAACAACAACAACAACAACAACAACAACAACAACAACAACAACAACAACAACAACAACAACAACAACAACAACAACAACAACAACAACAACAACAACGCAAACACCGTGGAGGTGTTCATGTTCAGAAACACCGTGGAGGTGCATGGCCACACTGTGGAAGTGTGCATGTACAGTTTTCACGTTCGCAAACACCGTGGAGGTGTTCATGTGCATGATCGTCAGCACCTTACTCAGCCAATAGTTGAACATTAGACGCGCGGGCGCGCGCGCGCGCGTGTGCGCGCATGTCGAGTGCCATGTTATGGAGTTATGCCAGCATCCTTCGAAATCCTGCCGCCCGAAACCCTTTCCGGAGCCGCTGATGCTGCTGATGCTCGCCCCCCGGGTCCCCAAAGAGAAACGAAGCCTCGATGATCGCACCCTGGCCCCCAACAACAAACAACGGCGCGGGCGGGCATGTATGGCGCCCTTTAAAGTCAGCTGAAAGAGCCATGGGACCAGGGTCCAGGGGCATGGGGTCATGGGACCATGGACCCTGCGGCCAAGAGCTACGGGACCATGGGGCCAGGAGCCATGGGCCATGGGGCCAGGGATGGGGGTCCATGGGTCCGGGGTGGGCGGACCGGGCGGAGCGACTTAGTCAGGAGGGGGGGTTCAGAGTCATGGGGGCAGGGTGGGGTGAGCGTAGCTGAGAGAACTTGCAGGCGCCATGGGGCCAGGAGCCATGGGTCCATGGCAGCCCTTTAAAGTCAGCTGAAAGAGGTAGAGCTACGGGGCCAGGAGCCATGGGGCCAGGGAAGCCATGGGCGCGCGCGGGAACTGGTGCGTTTTGCGCGCGCGCGCGCGCGCGCGCGCGGTGCGCGCGCGTGTGCGCGCATGTCGAGTGCCATGTTATGGAGTTATGCCAGCATCCTTCGAAATCCTGCCGCCCGAAACCCTTTCCGGAGCCACTGATGCTGCTGATGCTCGCCCCCCGGTTTTTTAAAGAGAAACGAAGCCTCGATGATGCGCACCCTGGCCCCCCGCCCGGCCGCGCATCATGAGCATCAGCGGCTCCGGCCTCCAGGCATGCGTGGCTTATAGGGGCATATGCCGGCCTCAAAACGGAAATGTCCGTAACAGCACGAAAACCACGGTATTTACAGCGATTTCTGTGTTTTCCAAGCTCTCAGCCGCATCCGAAACCCAAAACCCAACCCGCTGATGCTCATGATGCGCGCTCTTGTGGGGTCCTTTGGGGTGGCCAATGCCACCCAAAAAACATCAACAACGCGTGTTTGGCCAAAGTTGAAAAAGAGAGTCGATGATGCTCTCCGGGGTCGTTTTTGGGACCCCACATGGGGCACCCAAAAAATGCGTCCAGGAGCCCAAATTCGGTGGCAAATAGCGCGTTTTTCGCGATAAAAAATGTACCTGAAAATTGATGCCCTTCGGGAGCCGCATTTGGAGCCGGATGTTGGGGAGCCAACCGGGTCGGCGGCTTAACCCCCCCCCGTCATAGCTAAAGCTAGGGCTGGCGCCTAACGGCGTCGGACCACGGGCGTGCCCGGATTAGGCCGGACGCCAGTGCCGCCGACCCCCGCGTGCCCCCGGTGAACGGTTTTTTTTTCGTGGTTTTTTTGCGTCGCCACGGAGGCCCCCAGAGGGCGCGCATCATGAGCATCAGCGGGTCCAGCCCGGGACCCCCAGGCGCGCATCAGGAGCATCAGCGGCTCCCGGGGCGGGACCCCGGGGGCGCATCAGGAGCATGATGCACCCCAAAGGGCGGGCATAAGCGACGTGTCGAAGCCCGTGGCTAGGAAAAAGGGAGTTTAGGGGCCTTATAAAGTGCTTAGAAACTTTAAGGGAGTCTAGGAGCCTCAAACGCTTAGAGATTTGAAGGGAGTTTAGGGGCCTGAAAATGCTCAGAAACTTTAAGGGAGTTCACGAGCCTCAAACGCTTAGAGATTTTAAGGGAGTTTAGGGGCCTCAAAATGCTTAGAAACTTCAAGGGAGTTTAGGAGCCTCAAACGCTTAGAGAAACCCCAACCCTGTGACGGATCTGCTCGCCCCGCGCTTCTGCCTGCGCTGCCCGCCCATGGGCGCAGCCCCTTAAATCGGGCAGCGCCATGGCCCTTGTGGTCTGGCGTGGACCTGTATTGACACGGGCGACTCCCGTGCTAGTCTTGCTAGCCTTGTGCGGAGCACAATAAGGCCGGACGGCAGTGCCGCCGGTGAACGGTTTCTTTTTGAGCAAAATGGGATAGCCCCGGACACCCCCTAGAGACCCCCCAAAGGGAGCGCATCATGAGCATCAGCGGGTTCCGTCCGGGAGCTCCAAGCGCGCATCAGGAGCATCAGCGGCCCGAGTCCGGGATGCCGGGCGCGCATCATGACCATCAGCGGCTCCGGCGTTGGGTTTCGAGGTCTTTAAGCTCAAGGCCGATGTAGGGTTGAAAGGTCATGGCGTCATGGCGTTGATATGACCCCGGCGCCAAACCCGTGCGTTCCGACTATGTTTGCAGAACAACTCTCCTCCATGGGCGCAGCCCCTTAAATCCTTAACTTGTGTCCGTGGAGTGTCCGTCGTGTCCGTGGAGACAGCTGTGTCACTCTCTTGTATGGGTAGCTCGCACATTTCAAAACGTCAGGCAGGGACGTGCGGCAGGCACTACTGTGGTGGGACTGTGCTCAGGAAGGTTTCTGGTAGATCCGTCCTCAGTCCTGGAAGAGGAGGCACTCTTCGGGTCTAGGCTTAGGGAGGCTGAAAGCAGGTGGATTTTGCCTTTGTTCATCCGTGGAGCAGGATCTCAGCAACCGAGCAAGTTCTCACAGGCGTAAACGGTTGCTCTTGGAGATAGTTCTAGGGCTATCTCCGGTAACTCGGTAACAGTGGGACCGGTAACTCGGGACGGTCGGAGCAGCTGCCAAACATGAGTGGTTTTGACGCGATTGCTGAAGCATTAGGGCAGAGACGTGCGACGATCCGTTAGGGAACTATGATGCTACCGGCTAGATTGCTGCGACAGCGCCAAATGGGGTTCAGATTGTTCAGGCCCGGACCACGTCGGCCGCGCTGTGCGCGGCTGCAAGAAGGTCGGAGTCCTCGTCGTCCTCGGGCGGGATGGCCTGGGCGGGTATAGGGAGTTTAGGGTTCAGGGTTCAGGCTTGGGGGCCTTCGGGCCTTGGGGTTCGCTTTTTGCAGGTAACCAGTTCATTCAGAATAAGGATTCCAAGCCAGGCCGGTTTGGGCTTTGATAGGCGATCAGCATAGAATAGTTCACTTCAGAGGTGGCAGGACACCAACATTCAACGAGCTCTACGGACCCAGCGACCCAGCGAGACTTGGTAGGAGTTTGCTTCAACACCTTGCGCTTTGTTCATCACTCCGGGCACACAGCACGCACTGGAGCGAAGAGGTCGCGCATGCCACCTGCTAACCCAACAACATGCACGGGCATGAACAATTCAAGGGTGACTTCTGGTGGCTTTCGAAGGTTGGGTGCTCGAACACAGACAGGCCGATCATGCAGCAGCGTGCCCATGCTAGCTAGATGCGATACAAACACTGCTCACCACGTCCGCAACTTGTCAACTTGCGGCTGGCGGACTTGATCAACCCATACTGAATCATGCTGGTCGTGGCGCCTGCGCTGAGCCCCACAGACATTGCTGATTGAACGCCAGAGCGGGAAACCTGCAAACGTTCCATGAACACAACGTTGTACATACAACACATATGTACACCATGGTACCGAGTCTCACGGTGAGCGCTCCCACACAAAATCACCGGCACTTGGACTTTGTCACACTAGGCATGACGACTCTTCACAGCGGCGCAAGCCAGCAAGCCTCAGGTCACCACATTATCGATCATCACAATCACGAAACACTCATCATGCCCCAGGCGTCGCTCGACGCCATCCGGCCGTCACTGCATATCTCCAATGCACTACGCTTTAAAGCATCGACCAGCATCGAGGTCACCACACCATGTCCGCACAGCGAGTGTCCCAGAAAACTTGAAATAGCACGAGCCAGTTCGGGTGCGGAGCGGGGACATGCCGCATGTTTGTGGCCGCTTAGGCAGCTTCCATTCGCTGCCCTGATCCACATGACCCACTATCAAGTCTCGTGCATCACCCCACACGATTCGGTTTCGGCAGGGCATGCTGTGGTCCACATGGCTTTGTCGCGTTGGCGTGAACGATGACGTGAACGATGCCGTCCGCCCGGCTGTTCCAGCACGTGCCTGGGCGCGACCCTGGTGAAGAGTTTTGCGATTCCGATGTCTCCCCTCTTCTTCTTGTTGTTCTGCGCCTGTGCCCTCTTCATTCTCCTCTCTGGCTCTTTTCCGCTCTTTTCCTGTGTCATTATCCTTCTCCTGGCTGGACAGAATTTGAGCTCCCTCCCCACACGCCCGGCATGGTATGGTTCCCAACGACACTGTGACCTAACCCTATCATTGCCTGTGTGACACGCCCCGGAGAGAACGTCGCACGCTGCCACCCAAACCCTTCTTGGCTCGGCACTCTCATGCTGTAAGCACTTTAGTAGGCACTTTTAGTTGCTCGGGGTTCAGTGCGACAACGAAAGCAATACGTTGCGAAGATTTACCTTTGGCCTAGCTTGCTACACTTCCCCATCCCAAAAGCTTAGCCACGCGCATTCTACCAGTACTCGTTCCTCCTCTCGCTTCCGTACGTACTCCGTATACTATTGCTGGGCTTGGCTGGGCTTGGCTGGGCTTGGCTGTCCATGCAACTGTCGAGCGGCACTTATTTTCTCTCCGGCGCTTGGAGACTTGGAGAGGCTGTGACTGTGGAAGTTCTGCCGCCCGAGTCCATCCTACTTGGAGGTTCTCGGGGGTGAGGGGAGGGGTTACAAGCGGTGGGCTCACATGGCTCACAGATCATTGCGATCCTGACCTCAGCCGCCCATGAACCTCCAAGTACCTGCAACTCACCCTTCGCCGTAGCCATTACGCTTGCGCACGAAGATAGAACCTGCCAATCGTGCTCACGTGATCTACAGTGACAAGAGTGCAGGGGACCACAGGGCTGTGTTCTGGCATGGAAGGTGCAAGTGTGAAGATTCGAGGTCTGGGGCTAGATAACAATGCTTCTGAATTGTCATTGATACTAGTAGTTCCTGTACTTACAGCGCACGATGGACCCGAAGGGCATGTGGAGCATGACCCGCCTCGACCAGCCTGGCTGGACTCGTTCAGTGGTGGCCGCTGAGCTACGACCTGCAATGCGCAACACCTATCCAAACTTTGCCCCGGATTCACTACCCCCTCCCCCATCCCTGTTGCAAACCCTGTCGGAACCAAACCCTTGTCAGGGACCCTCACGGGCAGATTTACGAAACTTGACGAACATTGCAATAGACGGGGCTTGCTCCCCCAGAATTGTGGTCATAGGAAAGTTTGGCAAGGTAGCATTCCAAAGTTCGTCCTAAACCACCGCCGAGAATCCCAACCGTAGCTCCCAGACCCACCGCCCTTCCACCTGAAACCCCAATTACAACCCCTTGTCGCAGCAGGCCGGTCGCCAGTTATTTCTGGCACGTGCCCATCTCCCGGAAAACCCCAAAAGCTTTCACCCGAACTGCATGTTTGCGCATCTTGTAAGCGCTGATGACATGCACAGGGCGGGACTAGACCACATGTTCTCATGCCCACTGCTTTGGGGACTAAGTGTAACCCAGAAGGGTTTGTCGTCCTTATGACCCCAATACGATTATAGGAGTATTGGATACATGATCCCAAAGTTAGGGTTCATGAAGGTCCACCACGGTGCTTGCCCTTGCTCCTGAGAGCCCGTGAATCGGGTGTCCCTGGCCCTTCCACGATATTCCCGATGTGCAACAGAAAAAATGAGCAAAGCGGACTATTTTGCCAAGGTGCCTTTGGCCGGGGAAGCTCAGAGGGCCCTGCCTGGAGGCCGACACGCTTTAGAGTTTGGGTTGCCCCATGGACTTAGCCGGTGGGGGACTCCCATTAGAAGACGGCTAACCTGATTCGTGCGATCCCCTAAAGTTGTGCAAACTTTCTGACATGTGCTCATCTTTATTGCAGGATCCAATTGATCCCCCAGAAATGTGCTGAGTTTTTCGGGTCATGGGAAAAGTTTGGCAAGGTAGCATTCTAAAACTCATCCTAAACCACCACCCAGAAGCCTTCGACACAATGCATCAAATATGAGCCTCGAAAGATGATGTGGACCAGGCCGCAGCCGGGCGCGGGGCGAGTTGACCGAAGGCCGCAGGAGGCACGAATGTAAGAGGCACTGAGGATGGCTGCGAGCCTCCAGATTCGTGCGACGCACGAGAGTAGCGACGCACCGGTGACATGCGACAATGTGTAGCTTTGTGAGGACTTGCGCAGCCACCTCGGCCTTTCGCGGGCCACGTAGACGATGTAGACTCGCGTGGCTTCCGCTTGTCCTGCATGGCCAGCCCCATGAAAAATGGAAGAAGCAATGGAAGAAGCAACGGTAGTTGCCGGTCCAGTCGGGCGTTCCGCCCCTTTAAGCAACCGAACCGACCGGAAGGCAACAAATCTAGAACTCAAACATACTCACGCCATGGACCATTGCATGTAGCACTAAGATAGCAAATACATAATAAACAGGAATAGAACAATATAACAAAATTCGAACATGTCGTATAGGTAGTAATAGAAAAGAAGAAATAATATTATGTAGAAACTGGAGCAGCTCCCGCCTGCTGCGCTCTCCACGTAGCCAAGGCGTTCGTGAACGTCTCTTTGGACACTACGTGCCAACCTCGGGAGAGCAGCTCCTAGCTTAGCTGCATACTTTTTGCTCAAGCTCGCACAATTGCACACACACATACATATTATGCAACAGATAGTATACAATGCATGCACACAATATACATGAAATCTAATGCCTAATCGATGATAAATGTGTATACATATATATATATACATACTTATATATCATTATGCCTAATTATGCAATATGGTAGAAACAAAAAAGTAAACGAACATACAGTATGTATGTATGTATGTATGTGTGTATGTATGTATGTATGTATGTATGTATGTATGTATGTATGTATGTATGCATGTAGCAGCCTGTCGGTGCACGCCTAACTTGCGGCCGTGCGTCTGTCCATTGGCACTCCCGCCTGACACTGCCACATGCCATGTCGGGACGCTATCAGCACAACCAAAACGGTGTGCTCAAGTGGTGTACCGGCATGTACTGATTTCTAAGCAAGCCTGCGATTCTGCAGCCTGGCCAAACTCCGCACGAGATTCATATCATCCTTGCAGTATCCCTACGCCTCCGTTGCAAGCCGTGTCGGCAGCGCTGAGGACGCGCCACGCTGGTCGGTGGTGCTGAGCAAGCCTTCCATGTGATTGTCCAAGGCTTTCAGCTTCTGCATAGGCTTGCTTACACATGCTGCACAGCTCGACCCATTGCAATTGGCGCCGGGATGCTGGTGAAGATTGCAGTCAGCTTGTCCTCGTCGACCAGGGCCAGGGGATCACCACCGCCCTGACGGTCAAAACCATCTACCTCCTAAATGTGGGAATGGGTATTCACCAAAGGCGAAGAGAATTAGACACCCCAGCAACAGCCGCACAGCCGATATTTGGATGGCGAGCTCAAGTCTGCACGCTAGGAAATACATCAAGGACTTATCCGTTCTCAGTCCTGGCTCTGACTTGGGAGAGAAGTTGCAAGATGCTCAAGAATCGTTCTGCCGACGTAGGCTTTTTGAGACCTTGGATTCCATGAGGTGGAACTGGACCTGCGTGAGCATCAAGCCAACCCGGGAAGCAGAGGCTCAGACTACAAGCATTTCAAGAACCCAACAGTCGTTCCGATGTCCAAGTCGCGACGCATGATCGCGAAGAGCCTTCTTAGGTAATTAGGTGGCGTCAGTGAAGCAAACCTTCTTATCAAGGAGTCACAAGGCCTCGTCTGCGAGATGGTTCAGCGTGTGCAGCATCCAGCTCTCTATGAAGTGTTCCTTGGACGGAGTACTTAGTCGCTTAGCACCGATCGCTAGCCAACTTCTTTCAGCATCTCTTCCGTCTACAAACCTTACCCTCCGCTGTTACCCGAAAGTACCTCGCCAGCAGCCGACAAGCGGACAAGCAACACCAAAGAAAGGCAAGCTGTCACTATTTCAGAAAGGACACGGCCAGCTGCATCCCAGAGCCTGCAGAGCTTGTAAACTCAGCGCTCTGTGCTTCTGTGCAACGTGCAAGGAACCGCAGGTGGTAAACTCTGAGCCCTAACCTCCCCAAAAAATCCTAAATCCAAGTCGGCCTTCGCTGGCACTGCTCAGCGCCCGCGACCGCCCCACCTCAAACGCTCGGTGCGCCGCCTGTCTCGGAAGGCTTAGAGGGCTTCGGGTTTATGGTTTAGGGGCTTTAGGGTTCAAACACAGCAAGGAGTGGCACACGTCCCTCCGCAAGCCCCAAGCCATCCCAGTAAAAGCACAAAAACTGGAAACACAACACCCCATCAACTCACACGCAGCATCTGCAAACAAACCACTGGCGCCTCAAACACACACACACACACAACCGAAGCTCCCAACAAAACTAGCACACTAGCATCCAACAATGACGACGTCAATCCCACACGCTGCGACGCAATCCATGCAACAACGCCACGGAACCGGCTGTATACAAGAATCCTTGTGTTAGCA